TTTCCAATAATATTAAGTAATGAATATTACTGTTGTATATTACAATAATGAATGGTTGTTTCCCATAGTACTGTTAATAATATTTTTGTTTTACTTTGTAATGAATGGGCACCAACTGCAGTTAGTTCTTGTTTGAAACATCTATATTTATATAGAAATGTTTGATTATTTTTTAAATAGTGACTATTTGCTTTTAAAAAAATCTATTTACTATTTTGGGAAATTAATTTAATAATTTATAGTGTATGTCAAATAATCACTTATGGAAATTGCGGCTCATTATTTAAGGAAGTATGGCCACAAAAATTTATGGTATATATCAAATAATCACTTTTGGAAATTGCGACTCATTATTTAATGAAGTAATTAAGTCATATTTTAAGATACCTTAATTACTCAAATCATGCTAATTAATTAATATATGAAATAAAGTGGACGAATTTATTTTTGGTATTGATGGTTGTTTTTCTGGGAAATAAATTAATCAATATATGATATAAAGTTAGCAAATTTATTTAGGTTATTTGATGATTGTTTTTTGTAAGAAAATTTGTTGAAAGACTAATTAATACACGATGTATATTTTTCTGTAGAGCGCAGGCCAATATATTGGTTTTTAGGCGTGTGTTTCAATTTTTATTTCAAGTTTTCGAATGAAATTAACATAATAAAATTACCATAACTCCGACAAAATAATATGGACGGATATTTTGATATAATGTGTGTGTATCGATATTTTTTATAGAAAAAACTCTGGTCAATTTTTTTGGTATAAATAGTGGGGCCTCGATTTAATTCATTTTCTGTTGCGACATTTCAAATAATCTTTTTGTGAAATGCATTGTTCATTTTTTTAGCATTATAAAGAGTGTTGAATTTTTGGCAAATCTTATGACTGATTGTTTTTACTCAACTAATTAAATTTTTTGATTTGGATATTTTATACAAAAATAAATACATTTTAATTAATGAAATAATATAAGGTTTATATTTATACTTATTATTCACATAGGTTATTAAATATATAATAAAATTTTACCAAAAAACTATTTTATGGAATCATGTTATTGTCAAATCGAATTTCTGAATAAAATTTTTTAAATAACACATGGTTTGAAATGTATATAATGTAATTTATTATCAGCCATGTGCAACGCACGGGTTATGTACTAATTTTAAATATATATTTTTATGAAATTTTGCACAATTTAAATTTTATTTAACATTTTCAATAATGTAATATAGGTAGATTGTATTACATATTGATTTCATATTTTTAATTTATAAATATTATTTAATAAAAAAATTTAATTTATAAATATTAATTAATATCTCTTATCCATGCATCGCACGGGATTCGTACAAATTAAGTGGGCTCGGAGGTGGGTAGTTTTTGAGTTACATTTAATTTATTGGATAGAGTTACGAGTGAAAGAATTAATTGAACAGGTGGAAGACTTATTTTAAGTTTGTGAATAAATATTAGCTAAAATGTAATGTTAAAGTGGATGTCATTTAAAATAATAAAATAATTATTTTAAATGATTGATAATTAAAAATATCTAAGTAAATGAATAGTGAATATGGTTAAAAATTGTGTAGTTATGATTGATTGATATTATTAAATTATATTAAAAATATTGAAGAGAGTTGGATTAGATTAATTAAACATGGGTTAATTTTTTTATTAAATCATAATTAGGTCCAAAAAAATATTATTTGGCAAGGGAAAAGATGTAAAAAATTTATTTGCATTCGCACCCTTAGGAAATAAAAAAATTGACTTTATAATTATTTTTAAAATTAAAAAATGTTTTGTCATATTATTTTTTTTTTAAATAACCATTTGAAAATTCTATTTAAAAAAATTAAAGTTGGAGACATTTAAAGAAATCAAATTATAAAACAAAAAGAAATATTTATAATTGGACATTTCAAAATGTGATCCCAAACAAACACTTCATTTTATTCCTCATTTAGTTTGCGTGAACAATTAACGAGATTATAAAGCTAAATCTTCTTAACCACATATTCAATTGAAGATAACAAAAGGTACACTGTCAATCCCCCACAAAAACCAGTCATTACTTGCATTTGTAGAGAATAAGGTGCGTAGGCGTAACATTTGTAGGACACCCTACTAATGACATTCCCATATTAGTAAATTTAAACTTTAAATTTGTTCATCACAATCATAATATATAACTAGTATAACACCCATGTATTACATGGGTGGAGACGGTGCCTCATCTCATCATAAAAATGGGATGGGTATGCGGACAAGTCATATCCAAGATCGTTCCGGACCACGCCCACCTCTACCATAAATAATCAACATATTTATAGTAATCCAAACTTATCCAAGCCTAATAACGAAGCATGTAATTTTGCCACATAGGATCCCGAAGCATGCGAGCCTGCCACATAGGTTCAACACGTTCTCAATTAATATATAAGGGGGGATATGCATGCAAGATTCAAATATAAAACAAAAAAGTTTCTATGTAAATTTTTTGTCTTATATTCGACTTAATGGCATGAAAAACATAATTGAATGGTTCTCGGGTCACATCCCCTTATCATGATTTTGGTTGTATTTAGTGGCAATGTGAAACAGGACACACATTTATGGATAGATTGAACTACTCTTTTTTGCTTTTCTTTTTTATATTTTNACTATTTCAATTTCTAAATGAGTTAGGTTAAAGTTGAAAAATTATGGCAAATATTATAACCAACAATCAATTGAAAAAGATTGTAATATATATATATATTTTGAAGCTAAAAAATAATAATTTTAAATTACATCAATAGTATTTTGTTTTTCTTATAATTTATTATATTATAATTTTGTAATTAATTTTATTACATATTAAATAAATATTTCCTTAATAAATAAATATATAAATTAATATAATAAATAAATTAATATATATTAAATAAATATATATTAAATAATATAGTATTTTTTAATTATTTATTCATTATATTAATAAAAATATTAAACAACATAATATTATTCATTTTTTTTAAATAATAAAGAATAAATAAATACTAAATATATTTAATAATAAATAATACAATAAACTATTATTAAATTAAAATATAATTAAAAATAATATAAAATATTATTTATTATTAAATTTATTTAGTTTTAATTCATAATTAATATGTATTTTAAATTATATAATTCAATAAATATTATTAAGTGTGACATATAATTAATATATTTATTTAATAAATTTTTGTAAATATTTATTTAATAAATTTATGTAATATCAACATCATTTAATATATTTATCTAATATATCTTCTTTTAATTAATATATATATATTTAATTATTTAATATATTTATATACGTAATTTATATAATATACTGTTTGATATATTCATTTTTGAAATATTAAATATATTATGTAATATATATATATATATATTCAAATATGTTAACTAAAACTATATTACTTAATAATACAGTATTTATTTAATAAGTATCTATTTAATATGAAAATGAAAATTAATTAAAATTATTAATATTTTATTTCGTAAATATTTAATTAAATAAAAGTTACTTAGTAAATATTTATTTAATATATTTTGTTTAATATCAACATCATTTAATATATTTATCTAATATATATTCATTTAATTAAGAAATATATATATATATTTAAATATTAAATATATTACTTAATATATGAATATATAAATAAGTTAAATAAAACTATATTATTAATTAAAACTTAATATGGTAAATTAGTATTGTTGACGACCGACTTGATTTTTCAAGATTAAAGGAAGGATTAATTATTTTATCTTCTAAATAATTCGTCAAATTTATTTTCAGTGGTCAACTTAGCCCAGCTCGGCGCAAGTAATCGACAACCGATCTTGAACAACCAAATAATAACAGACTAATCCAAGGCTGTAAACTGACTTCACACAAAAGACAAAGAAACCGACTTCACGAACATTCTCTACTGAAGATTATCCACTAAAACCGAGATCCGAAATGATCAGATTCCAAAGTAGGTGACGCGGGTTACTCCTTATTGGACCATCTAACCAAAAAGTAATCATTGTTGTCCCCTCGTCACCTTACAGACCGCTTAATTGAAGCAGCTCAACATTAAATGCAATATGATCTACCTCGTATGAAAAGTCAAAGCCGCCGCACTATAAATAGCAGAATTTATGATTATACGGGGATCTTTTTATGCACATGGTACACAGACGAACAAAACAACTCGGTTATATATAAGAATCGACTTCCTGTACTATAAAAAATCCAGCAATAATACAAAAATTTACATTTTTTTTCCTTTTAATTACATCTTACTTTTGTTAATTTGAGTTGTTAAATTTCATACAACAAGTATAAAAACAATTAATGATAAAAAAAAAAGTTTAATCAAACAAAGTAATTAAATAATATAATATTATCTATTTATTTATTTTACCAATTTTTATTTTGTAATCAATAAATATTTAATAAATAAATTATATAATAGTTTAATAATTAAAAGTAGTATAAATTGAATATATATATATATATATATTCAATTTATATATAGATATATAGAGAAGGGATCATATGAGAAAGGTAGATAGTGAAAGAAATAAGAACAATTGTGGACCATTAGATCCAACATATCAATGAACCTGATGGAGTCAAAATTAATTAACATTGGTCAGACCTGTTGTGGCAAAATTGTAAATATGTGTTTATATTTGGTCAAATAAATACCTCCAAGGGCAGTTGTGTAATTTCATTGCCAACATCAATTTAGTGGGTCTAACACATAATAAATCCTAATGCCACCTCCCACCCCCTCTCTCTCTCTCTCTCTCTCTCTCTCTCTCTCTCTCTCTCTCTCTCTCTCTCTCACACACACACACCACACACTCACACACGCACACTCATCTGCAATAGAAAGAGTCTCCTCCGGCACCTCCCACAGTCGCCGGCGTCAGCCCATCGACGGCGTCGGTAGCCACATCAACGTCGCCGACAACGACCACCACTGTAGAACTCAGCTCCGCCACCGACCATCGTAGAAGCGGCCAACGGGAGCTTCACCCTCGAACATGGAGTTTGTCGCTGCCGCACAGCAAACACGCGCCTCCCGCCGTCGCCATCAGGCAACTGGCCGGTGCCGCCTTCCACAGTCAGCTCATAAGCCGCCGCCATCTTCATCTGCCGAAAATTGAGCCGCGTGGCTCCTCTGTCTAGTCGCCGAAATTCGCCGTCTTCATCTCGCTGGATGTGGAGGTCACTGGCTGAAGACGACGAAGACAATGACGTCGTCCATGAAAATTAGCATTCGAAAGTCAAATTCCAGCAATCCAAAGTGAAAGAAATTTGGGGAAGAACCTAAAGCGGGAATGAACAGAGGTGAACAATTGTCACCAACTGGTGGAGAATTGGGGTCATGTTTTTGGAAATTTGATATTTTTTAGGACTTAAATGCAACTTTAAGAATTTTAATTATATTTCACTTTTACCCATGGGTTAAATCTACAATTTATAAAAGTCATAAAATAATATTATGGTATACATTCTTTAATTCGCACACACATATATATAAAATAATAAATAAAATTGATGTAATTTAATATAAAAATAATATAAAATAATAAATAAATAAATTGAAATAATAATTAATTTTTTATAAAATAAAATTTTTGAACTGAAAATTTTAGTATATGGGTAACGGAATATACTGTACAATCTAACAGTTATTAATGTGCAATTCGTCCAACATTATAGTGCACGCTTTCGGTCTGTATTGTGCAGATTGAACCAACCAAACTTTTATCCCAAATCAAACGGAAAATGAACATAATTAATTGATATATTCGGTTCGGTTAACCGAATTATTCTAAATTATTGAAATAATTTGTTATTTGTATTAAAAAAAATTATTTAATATGTTAATAATTGTATTTATTATTTTTATATTATTTTCGGTTGAAATATTTTGAGTTCGGCCGGTGTCGATCCATATTGCGCGATCTGATAGTTGTGATAAAGTGCAACGTGATGTTTTATAAAGTGCAACACATTATTTCATAAAGTGCAACGTGATTATATATAAAGTGAAATACTGTAAGTTTGGTACGTTAGCATGTTTGTGATATTTGTGGACATATAATGTTATGAATGTTAAAGTATTATGTAGATCTATTTTCTATATTTATGTTGTGTGGTATGTTGACGGGAGCTATTGGCGATAATTGTGGAGTGTTGGTGATAAAGTGCAACGTGATGTTTCATAAAGTGCAACGTGTTATTTTATAAAATGCAACGTGTTGATATATAAAGTGTACTACTATAATTTTGGTATGTTATCATGTTTGTGTTTTTTTGTGGATAGATGGTATGATGGATGTTAAAAATATTAGATTTACGTTGTGTAGTATTTTTTGCGGGATCTATTGACGTCAATTGTGGAGTGGGATGATAAAGTGTAGCTTGCTTTATACAGTGCAATGTTTTATTTTATAAAGTGCAACATGTTGTTTTATAAATTGCAACGTATTGTTTTATAAAGTGCACTACTTTATATGATCTCATGTAAATTATGTGTATTCGAAAATTAGTTTTAGTAGATATAATTGTACATTGAAATAACCTAAATAATTAAAATATTATATTATTTATAATTATAAAAATATATTAAGTATTTTAATATTTTTTATATATTTTTATATTCTTTTCTTGTTAAAAAAATATAATTTGTATTTAAAATATTATTTAGCATTCAATATTTTTATTTATTATTTTTATATTATTATAATATTTTTTATTGTTTTTATATAATAATCATTTTATTTAAAATATATATGAAAAACAAAATAAATGAAATTCAAAAGGAGGTCTAGTCATTGCAGTTTCGGAATAATCTCGGAATTTCTCTCGCCCACATCTTGCACTACTCCAAACAGATTATGCTAATTATTCTTGCTAATTATAAAGTGAATTTAGTATTTTGATATTCTTTATTTAATATTTTTTATATTTTTTTAAAAATTTCAAATTTAACCCATGGATTAAATTATCGTTTAATAAAAAGTTGTGAAATTGCAACAAGACCCCTATCAAATTTCAAATTCTCAACAACACAAATCAAGTTGCAGCGGCAAACTTGAAGATGGTCGTCAACCCCTTTCACCGTCGAATTCACTGCCCCATCGAAATTATCCCACCGTAGGTCGGGATTTTCGGGAGATTTGTGTGGTTCAAATTCACGGTGGGGACGGCTTTTCCGACAGATTCCCGATGATCTCGACATCGTCCGATCTGATGGCGCTGGCGGAGCAGACGACCGTGCAATCGTAGGTTAAGAAAGTCGCTCGACGGCGCGGCGACAGAGGCGGGGATCCCGCCTGTGTGTTCGTGGACGGCATATCCGGCGGCTCCAGCGGTGGCGGGATGCTTGGCGTTGGCGGCGGAGCAGTCGTTGCCGGCGGGAATGGCAGTGAGTAGCCGGCGAGAAGGGCGGCAACTGTGGCGGTGTGCATCAGTGTGTGTATGTGTGTGTGCGTCAACGTGATGTGTGTGTGCTGTGTGTGTGTGTGTGTGAGAGAGAGAGAGAGAGAGAGAGAGAAGTGGGGAGAGAGAGAGTAGATATAGCTGGAAACGTGTGGGTTAGGTGGGGGTTGGATGGATTTTTTATGGTGGGACCCACTGATGTGGTTAATGGTTGGTGATAAATTGTCCATAATACCCTTAATGAAGGTATAATATTGACTTTTATTCAGCCGTTAGATTGTTTGATTGGATGACTGTGATTTATTCTTATTTCTTTCACTTAGCACCATTCTCACTAGAGCGCGACCCATATATATATATAGGGGGCGGATCAAATGCGGCCAGCTCTTAAAATGCGCCCAGCTCTTAAAATGCGGACAGCTCTTAGCAACTACAAACAACTAACCTAGCAACTACAGAGAACTAACCTAGCAACTACAAAGAACTAACCTAGCAACTACAGAGAACTAACATAGCAACTACAGAGAACTAACCTATCAACTACATAGAACTAACCTATCAACTATAGAGAACTAACCTAGCAACTACAGAGAACTAACCTAGCAACTACAAAGAACTAACCTAGCAACTACAGAGAACTAACCTAGCAACTACAGACAACTAACCTAGAAACTACAGAGAACTAGCCTAGCAACTACATAGAACTAACCTAGCAACTACAGAGAACTAACCTAGTTGGAAGGTTAGTTGTCAACGGTCAACGCCGGAAGTCAACGGTCAATGCCGAAAGTCAACGGATTTCACCGAAAGTCAACACTGAAAGTCAACGGTCAACGCCGGAATCAACGGGTCAAAATAATATTTAAATAATTAAAATAATAGAAAGAAAAGAGTAAATCTTGGTCACACATGATGTACCAAATCTTGTGGCTAAAAATGAGTCTCACGTCCTCACTTTAAATAAGTGGATGCATTGGAACTAATCCCTCTATATATATATATATATATATATATATGGGATAAAACATTATTGATACATATATAACTGAAGTCAAATATTTAACACAAGATGTGTTAGGTCAAGTGACTCATATTGTCTTTGGAATGCCAATGACTCAACTTTGAGTCCCCCTTCCTACAATATTTTGAAATTCTGCCACATAATCGGCCACGTAACCATCAACCTCACAACTAAAAAAAATTAGGTGAAATTCCACGTAGGCAAGCCACGTGAGCATCAGACTCACAACTCAGCAAAAAAAAAAAGAAAAATGAAAACAAAAT